TTTTCTATGCACTGTGCACTTCATTTATACATATTCAGATGTAGAACGAAAATCTGTGTCGAGTGGTGTATAATCAACGGATTTTAAAAGAAAAATTGTCAGGTTTTTCCGAAGTGATGTGGATGTCTTTGACAAGAGGCGCCCGAGTGTTTTAGTAAGACAGCTCTGGTAAAAATTTAAGCTCATTAGTATTTGATTTGACGGAGTTATAGCACAAGCAAAATTTTCGACTGGAAAATCGCTTTTTTTCCGTATTTTATGACTTTTTTTGCAAGCCTTCTAGCGGCAAGGGAAAGCATTTTGGAAAAAAATTTTAAGAGACAAAAATGTTCAGGACACATTTCTCTATCTGCTCTGATAATTTGAGAAAAATCTGTGACAGCGCATTGAGCACGCTATGCTGGAAAAGTGCGTTTCTATCGTGCACGGCCTCATAGGTTACAGAATATACTTTTAAAATACATTTTTTAGCCTGTCGGCAAAAAGATATTCTTGAGCAACGTGACTAAATATTCTTATTATAGTGCTACTAGAGTACTACGATCTGCTTTACGAAGTTCATCACATATTTCACTTGCATGTCATGTATAAAGTGAAAAAATAAAAAGAGGATACGCAGAAACACTTTTCGAGTACAGTGAAGTAATCTAAGCTCAGCGTAGGGAAATGTGTTATCTTATATACATTACACTACATATTCAGTTAATTCAACTTGAATTCTCTAGATTAACACTATTTCAAAATCCTTAAAAGTTTTTTGGCTAGGTGTCTCGCGATTATTTCGAATGAACATCATTTTTTGTCTCTATTAAACTAGAAAAGAGATGTTATAACTATTGCTGACATCTTCTATTTAAAAAACTCTTATTTAACGGGAGAATTAACAAAAATTCGTAAAATGAACGTCTTCTCACTTGTTTTCGGCAAGGGACGGTGAGTACGTTTATTGAAGCATGCTCACTCTGGAAATTGGGTTCGATATCCATAAAATTTATTTATTCTGAAATTCTTCACGTTAAACGTGAAAAAAACTGTATAATCAATTGGTAAAAAATTGAAGCAAAATAATATTTTATAAACTAAACATTGGCACTGATTGCCAATCAGCTCGGTCTGAAAAGCTCAATCCGATATGCAGTTTTATCAGGCCTGAGACAGGGTCTGACTCAGTTTCGAAAAACTGAAAAGTATTCTGAGGGTTTTTAGCAAAAATCCGCCTATCTCGAAGTTCCATTAGTTGAATATAGTTGGATGCATATTTTTTGATTTGATATAGATAAAAATCGTTTTATTTTTAGTCAGTTTTCACTTCGTATAAAACCCAATAACATATTTTGGAATCTCCAATTGAAACTGCATCAATTAAGGCACTTTGGCTGTGTTCAATACCTTGAGACGTGACAAAGTAACCGAATAACGTTATGAAGCTTTTCTTGTCATATAAGGGGATAATTAGCAATAAAGAAGCTGACAAATGAAGCAGGTCCATTTTGTATTTTGTACAGTTTTTTTCCCTCTGCAAACTCTACTATTTAGACTTTTCCTACGTAGCATTTTATATAGTGATTTTACTACTATAGTTTATGACTAGTAAAAAAAACACATGTTTGTTTGAATAGTTAAAACGTGATAGAACAGTTTGAAAAATCGAGATCAATGTTCTTCGTTATAGAACGGAAATTGTTTTTTCACCTTTCAATACGTTCTGTAGTAGTTTACGGTAGTCAGTTGTCTCTTTTTTACTGATCCCATCTCCTAGAAAGATAAAACACTCAAAACAACGTTGCACTGAACAAGTTAATGAGATGAAAATTGTTATTAAATGTAAATGAACGGTGAAATCTTACCATTTCAGTTTAAAGAGATTCAAAATACTTTCACCGGATTCAGGACTGAATAAGTTGGTTAACATTTCATCTCTGAATTAGAACAGAGATTTCAATGAGATCTGATACTAACTCTGATAAAACTGCATAGCTAATTCAGCTTTTCAGACCAAACTGATTGTCGACTAGTGAGTAAATCAAGTATCAAATTAAAATATTTATATTTGACAATATGTTGTAAGATTTCTATAATCTTTTATTCAGGATAACAATCTTTTTTATTGGACTGTCCGTTCAAGAATGTTTCGGGATCACGTGTATTTTACATCGATTTTATACTATGAAGAATGGTTTTAGAAACGCTTCATCTATTGAAACAAATATTTACCGATATAAAAACTGGTTAAGTATTTTTAGAAGATGATTCTATCAAATTATGGCAGTTGATGCATCCGCTAAAAAGCGCAATGCCATGCAGAACCTTTTGAGAGTTCGGGAATTGGATTCGATTTTAGAACCTTTAAAAGGTTTCGTGTGAAACAATAGTGTCTTAAATAATGGGGTATTTTTTATGAAACAGTGGGCTATTCCAGCACTTCAGGTGTATTTCCAATATAATAACACAGCCCAAAAATAATTGAGAATTTCTTTAAATTTTGATTTCTCATATGAAAATAGTTGTTGATTTGAGAAAAACCTGTTGATTTAGAAAGCGGATAGATCGATTCTGATAGTTATACATAAAATCTTATCTTCTGCCGAACTTTTTAAAGGTTCAGGAATGGAAGTCAATTCTCAAAACCGTAAAAGGTTCTGCATGGGATTTTTTCTTTTAAAAAGCATAGCTAACAGTTTCTAGAACGGTTTGTTAACATGGATAGTCATGTGTGAGATTTGATTGACAGACGAACAATTTCTAATCAATTGTAATCGAATTGCTCCTTGTACTATAGAAGAATGACCATTTAGAAACATTTAAGACGAGAAAGTTCGTCTGTTCAATAAGTACAATCAAGTGATGCTTAAGAATTATTGTCGCATCGAACAGACAAAACGGAGAATAATCAGTCAGTGTCGGAATTGAATACAATCGATACAAGTTGTCAAATGCTATTTACTTTAATAATAATATTTTTTCTAACTTCTTTTTTAGAGAATTTTCTATAAATGTCATCAAAGCAATATTTATTTATATCTCAAAAAAAAAAAAATAGACAAAATGCATTATCTTTTGGTGTTTTTCCTGAATATTTTGAGAATAAAACGAGAGGAGAAGAAGAAGCTTAATACATTCTAGAATATCATATAAATATTATTGTTAGTATATACTAAACGTTTGTGTCAGAAGCTAGATCTACCAAAAATTAAAATAAAAAAACGCCTATATGTGTGTGTATAAACGCGAAATTATGGTTGAAAAAACGGAGAAAAACTATAATCATTATCGATTAAATATCTGTTCACAACCAACAGAAAACGCTTAGTTTTTAGGCACCGCAAGATATGCTGAAAACAAAAGAAAACTGCTGAGGTATTATAAATACGCGTACTGAAAAGCTGAATATATTAAACTAAAAGCATTAATCTATATGAGTTTTGGTTTTTTTTAATTTTTATTTGTAGGAATATTCCAAACATCCAAATCGCATATTTGACTTTTAGTAGTAACCTAAGAGAATAAAACAGACAATATTAAGATACATAATCGATTGATTATTTAAATATGCCCGAAGTATACTTAAAATATATCATAGTCAATTGAAAAAAAGCTTATTTTTAATTCAACTGACTATCCACATTGTAAGATATACAGTCTTCGTGTTGGTATACTATATGTAACGAACAAACGCTACTTACGGTACGATGAAGAAAATGTAACCGGACTTGTAACACGTGATCGCCTCAATGGACTCACTGACCGACTTGGTATTCGACGTGTTGGACTGACCGCTCGGGAACGACTCAGTGAAGCACCACGCTTGGTACAAGCTTCTCCCTATAATTATTATTCTGCATCAAAAAGTTTTTCAAGTAATTTTGTAGTCTAAACGAACCTTTACTATGGTTTTTGTTCCTTGCATGAGACATGGCCAGACATGATGATCCACCAATGGAGCAGAATACTCCGAATCATAGCTTCGTCGATACCTAAAAATGAATAAAATTTGTAGTTAGAATATTCTTAGAAAATTATTTGTTTTGCGATTTTTTAAACATACTTGCTATCATTAAATACTTCAGCGTCACTTGCAAAAGCAATATCCAATGGATAAGCTAAACAAGCCATGTGCCAAGCGACTCGACATGCTTCACGGATATAGGTACCCAAGATTGAATATGTGACACCCAATGGTAAACTTAATCGTGGATTACGATGTAAATTATCAATAACTTCCTTAAATAAAGAAAATCGTCATATTTTTTTCTCTATTTCACTTTAAAAATCTAAAGTTATATTTATTCTTTACCGACACTATTGATGGTAAATCATAAATATCTATATTTAGATTAATATAGTCTTGAACAGCTTCTTCCAATGTTTCTGGGCCAGTATGTGTTATAGCCAATTGTGATCGTAAACGTATTTTCCAATCAAGAAAACGTTGTTTTGACACGGAAAATGCTTCCTGAAAGTCAATATTAACAATTTTTGTACAAAAAACATTCGAAGATTCCGTTCATTTATACCTGAATAATACTAAATACAATACGTTGATTCATCTCATGATCATCTGATACTGTTTGTAATATATCCATAGCATCAATACGTTCTCGAGCATACATATCAGTGAAACGTTGAACTAAATTATCTTCACGAATTCTTTGTAATGGTTCATCAGGTGATAATGGTGATATTGCTCGTGGTGTATAACTACTATAGCTAAAAAACAAAAGTAAGATAGGAGTACTATATAGTGTATCTATACGGTAACATAAAACTACCTTCGTCGTGGTGAAAGTGAACGTGTTCGCCGTTGAATAGCATCGATATCATCTCTTATTCGACGAATTTCTCTTTCATACTCTGCAGCCAACTGTGGACGAGGTTTATAAAGTTCGAGTGATAAACGGTATTCGGCATCATGCAATCTAGACAACAGCAAACAAACTCAATTTACTATAAAAATTCAATTAACCAGTGTCTTTACCGTGTGCGAAGATTATTAAGTTCAGCTTCGGTGAACATTTTCTCACCAGTTGATCGTGCACGTTCATCATACAACTCGTTACGAGTTTGTTCAAGTCTAGAGAAAATGATAAGCTTAAGTCGAGGTACAAAACTAAAAAACATCATTTTCTATCTTCTATAGAAGAAATTATATTTGCAATTTCTACAACTAATTGAATTATTGAGGTTTTGGACGAATTTGGAAACTTAAAAAAGTCATTAATAACTAATTTACTTCTTCCCCTAATAAATGTTTTAGGGATGTCTGCAATCTATTGATTTCTTGTATTCAGTTATATCTTTAGTACTACATTTCAGCAATTAGTTTCGCTCTCTTTCTCTACCGCTCGATGGACAGCGTCTCCCGTTAATCAACACTCTCTTAGAGCATTCTGACCAGTTAAGTAGCTATTGACTTTCTTTCTTGAAGCATTTTCTCGGCATATATATATATATATGCCATTGTTCTCTACAAGAGACTACCTTAATTACCGGATATTAAATTTGAAGGAGATGTGTCAAGATAATGGTCATTGTAACACCATCCAACTGAATAGTCATATTTAATTATTGATTTTTATTTTTTATTTTTTTTCAACATAACAGACACGTAATATTCACCATCAGGAATGCAAGTATACAGCCTTTAAAATGAAAATTTATACTTGTATTTTCTATACTAAACAACGTGTGTCTAAAACGTCAAACAAATAAAAATCAATACTTAAATATGACTATTCAACTAGATGGTGTTACAATAACAGTGTTTTTAGCGTAATTTCTATTCTATAGTTTATATCTAAGCATAATAAAACAAATATAATACGTACTCGGCTTCAAGAACTGCATTATCAACGTGTGCACCCCGAAGCTCTATTTCGAGTTCGGATAAACTTTGATCATATTCTTGTGCCAATTTTTCATACTCAAAATCTTGTGTTTTTCGTAATATTGGCCAATATAAATCATTTGTTAATATTCCATTGAAATACGTTGCTTCTTGACTTAAAAATGGCAATAGACGGCTTTTGATAGCTGTTGTTCCACCATATAAGCCACCTAGAATCAAACAAATATGATACATTTTACAACACGACACAACAAATACAAATAAACAAAATTAGCATGATTTATTAAAGAAAAAAAAATCAGCTGGTGAGAGTTAATCACACAGCGTCGTCGCTGATATCACCTGGTGCTTGTAATATCTATTTCGAACAATGCAACAAGTGTATCAGCCACTTCGGTGTGTAAGCGCGCTTAACAACAGCAGCGCGCAGCGCGATTTACACGTTACGAAAAAGATAGAAATGCGTAAGATGAACAAACATAATCATACGTGTGTATGTTTGGAAATGAGTTGCTTGAATAAGTAAAGTTCTTTTATGCTAGTGTCGTTCGAATCATGATGATGATGATGAAGAAGAGCAATATATATATATATATATATATGCGAAAGAAAAAAAAATGAGAGAACCTATTACTCAATTGTCTTAGTGTCGTTCGACAAGAGAAAAAAAATTTTTTTTTTTTTCATTTTAGGAAAAACCGCTATCTGTCGCTATACACTTAAAAAAACTATATGAGAAGCGCACAATGTTAGAAATTGAACGCAAATCCGGAAGGGTAAAAGAATATATGTATAGATGCCGTTTTCTTTTTCCTTTTTCAACTAAAAATTACAAACAAAAGAAAATTGTCGTCCGATGAAAAATAGAAAACTCTTTTTTTCCGACATATATCGATTGCTATACGTTTTACTTCGAGTGTGTATGTGTGCTAGTAGTTTTTTTTTTTCTTCTTCTTTATCAGAGACGACGATTTTTTTTTTTCAATTAACAAAAGAACGATTCATCTTGTTGCATCCACAACACAAAATGATTTTTTTTCCATGGTGAAAAATGTTCAGTGATAAAAGAACGACGAGGTTTGAAAAAAAAAAGCAGAAAGAATGTTCATTGACAATGGTTCAGAGAGCGGAAAATTGATTTCTGTTTGAACATATTTGGTGTACAACTGAACTAGCTAAATTATGATATGTTTTGATCATTCCGGATAACAATTTTAGTACGCTTCAAGGAAACAAACTTCATATCTTTTAAGATGTGAGAAAAAAAAAACAGGCTGTTGAAAACGTTAAATGTCTACTTTCTTTATAGACCTTTCAGTGTACAATTACGATAAATAATTCTACTAATCCACCATGATCATAATTAAACCTTAGAGCAAGATAAAATGCACACTCTACATATCTTATATGTACAGTAGACCTAAAAGTTGCTTACAAATTTTCTTTTTAGTTTCAATGGTCGCAAGCAGGAGAAGAATGAGAGAAGAGAATGGACATCACAGCACATCTCATGTTGAAGTAGAGTATTCTCAAAAGCCATAATTCGTTTACAATACTATAACTAGACAAAAATTCTGGTCGACAGATCTTAATACTTCAACTTGACTGCAGAATTGACCAGTATGTTTATCATATGATATTCTGTATACTCAGAGGATAACACGTTTTGCATAGTAAGGGAATGTAATTGACAAAAGCACGTTCTGAAGAACTGTGAAACCATTAAACAAAATCTCATTTTTTGTATACGAAAGAACATCTAAACAACAGTTCTTTGAAATCATCGGGTTTTCTTTGGGGATAAAAGTATTTTTACATAACTTTTGTTCGGCTTCAATGAGAGAGAGAGAAAGATGGCTTTTTACTTTTTTGTGCGGAAAAAAGCCATTTTCTTTCTTATTAATAATTTTACTAAAAAGCTTTTTTGTTTTGATCATAGAGCTTTTTTTATATACAAAAAAACAGAAATGCACTTTGAATTACTTTAGGTATAAAGAGTGAATGAGAGAAAAGAATTTTTAAGAACTAAAAGAGAAGGAATTGATTATTAAGATCAACTAAATATTATCTACTATAGAAAAAACTCATTACTGGTTCGTGATTATGCTTATTATTATTATCTATAAAGGATTCTGAGTTTAATTTATAGTCTTGATGTATAGTCTTTAATTATACAAAGTAAGAATCAATTTCTAGTTGAAGAACAAACGGAAAGTTGAGTTTCATCAAGAACATTTTCTTCTTTCTGATGAATACTGTGACTAACAATGTTACTAAAATATTTTTGAGATACAATGATGAGGTGAGACAATCAGGAGATAAGACAAAATCTCCTATATTCTGTGCAATTTTGCAGATTTCATGTTTTAATCTCGTCAAATTATGTATTTGTTTATAAAGTATAAATGTTTGATATATAATTGCTGTCTCACGGGAAACATATCTTATAGAGACTAATTAATGTGCACCGTCAAATAGAAAATATAGATGTACTTTATTTCTTATTCCTCATTTCTTTTTTTCCATTTCTCTTTGTGTGTATATTTTATATACTCTAATTGAAAAAAAGATCTTACCTTAAATAAAATCTAGTAATAAAAGTATCGTGCTAAAGGTGATGAATATCAACTTTATTTTTTGTTGTTGTTGAGAAAACTATAGGGTTCACTCATCTTCACCAACAAAACGTTCGAAAAAAGTTATAACGTATGCATGAACAACACAATACAGTCTTTCAGACGCATGACATATGCACAAATAATACTCAAGTTTGTCAACCAAATTTTTTTTTTCGAATTTTATCCTTCCTCTTTTTCTTTTTATTCCCTACATATAGTGGTGGTAGTTAATAGTAGTCACAGCAGTATCGCAGCAATCAAGTAGAAGATGATCTATATTTGCGTCAACGTTTGCGTGCTTTATGTTTTTTGTTTCTGTTCTTATATACTACATACACATTTTTCTCAAAAATCTGTTATTTGTATTGTGCTGAAAAAAGTACTCAACAACGACAAAGAAAGAAAAGTTGAATTGAAAAAAAAAAGTTTAGCAGCGTATATATTCAACCATCTAAAAAAAGAAAAAAGAAAAATTTTTCTTTTTTTTGACTGACAATATACGGAAGTATGGAATGATTAGAGAACTGATAGAAAGAAGAGATGGAAGGAAAAGAATTTTTTTACATGAGAATGCGCGTGAACGATAAATTAAACTGAATTGTCTCATCGTTTGTATGGTACTATACCATTTTAATTATGTATGGGGTGAAAATAGAACAACAGAATGATTACAGAGGACTACTTGGTGCTAATCCCATGATAAAGAGGAAAGAATATGGAAATTAGAAGCGTAAAATAATACATTTGAAAAATAAATTAATAAATTTCTTTTTTATATTTAAACAGCTCGATTTTAAACATACACAATATGAATTTAAAAGATTTTCATACAAGAGCAAGAATATTAGTTTGTAAATAAATGTCAACAAGACAGCATTTCTCTAATTTAAACTAGACTCGTTTTCAAGGGCTGGCTATCCATGATTTTCAAGTTCAAATAGTTTTCTATACTTTATAACTGAATCTGAGAAAGAGTTGAAATTCGTCATAATATGTTTCATTTCTAATTGGATGGGTTATTCCTACTACTAC